GCCACTCTCCGGGAGATCTTCCGGCAAGTGGCCTTCAAGAAGAAAGGAGCTCAGGGTTTAGGGCTTTAGGGGTTTAGGGTTCAGGGGTTCAGGGGTTTAGGGGTTTAGGGTTTTAGGGTTTTAGGGTTTAGGGTTTGGGCTTTCAGGGTTTTGGAGTTTAGAGTTTAGGGTTTATGTAGGGTTTAGGGTTTAGAGGATACCTTGCCATACATGGCTGAGTTGTAAAAGGCTACTACATCTACGACATCTTTGACCCCGAACAGGCTCCATTGAGTATCATCAGTCCAGAAGTGTGATGTATTCCGAATCCCCAAACTGCAAGCCCCCAAACCCTTGTCGATCCCTTTATAGAGCCCTTCAAGCCACTCCCTTGTCCCACCTTGACGGGGCCATGACTGGCGCTTCTGGCAGGCTCTCCTTTGCTGATGTTGGCCTGGCGGGTGCGCGGATCAAGGCAATGGCACGGCTTTAGAAGTCATTGACCGGCTGTGCCCCCAAATTCCACATGACCGCAGAGTCTCGGAGCACGTAGAGGATCAAGGGCTTGGGGTTTGGGGCTTAGGGCCAGAAGTGAGGTACCAGTTTTTGGAATTGTTCGAAGCCACAATGACCTAGCGGTTGGTCATAGCAGTCGGAATGCATGCTGCCTGAAAGTGGTGCCTCCAAGCTGTCATGGTGCTCGCTCGATGCGTCTTTGCTTGGGCCCATGATTGAACAAGGGAGCCCACTATCCCCAGTTTTTGCTGTATTCTCTGCCGCATCTCCGGCCGAAGGTCGCTGGGGCATATCACACCTTGGATAACAAAGGCCTTATGTTGGATGTTGTGTGCTCCGCTCGCTCAGATCCCGGCTCTGGGCGCTGCTTTCAGCCTTTGTACGGCCGTTGAGCCTAGGAATCACCTGAGATTGCGGTTGCGGTCGTCGCGTGCGTCCTATTACCGCGTCAGTCCCCGCGCGGCACCCACCACGTCAGTCCCCGCGCCGCGCGGCAGCCGCCGTGCGAACATTTTGAGCGAGCGCGCATGTCTCTAAAAAGTGGGTTTTCGTTGGAGCACGCAGGATGTCTCGAGAGGCGTCCATTAGTTGCCCTGGCCTTGGCTGGGGTTTAGTAGAAGCTGGTGCTCCCTCAAATTTTTGCGCCTGCGCAGTGTCGCAGCTGGCGAAGCGGTTCGCTGGAGCGAGCACGTTCGCGATCGAGTGAGCACGTTGCTAGTGAGGGAGTACGCTGGGCAGGAGCGAGCATCGCTCGGCTTCAGCGAGCACGTTCGGGCCCGAGCGGGCATGTTCGTGCAGAAGCAGTAGCGTCCCTGTGGGATAATAGTTCAAACAAGAGAAAGACACCAACTTTGCCTTCCACTCTCTCTTTGCAGTTATACGCCATTGGCCGACCCCAAGCCTCCTGCCGACCCCGACTGCGGGCCCACGGCCAACTTCCGGCCAACCCCAATCCTTTCGTAGATAGTGGATTCGCGGGGCCGAGAAAAGAAGCATCCGGCAAGCACGTTCACAGAATGGCAGCACGGTCTCTTAGTGAGCATGGCTTGCGACACCCTTGATTTGCATCGACAGACGCTGCCCTCTCCCACCTTGCTGTGCACGTGGCTGGCATTGCTTCTGGCAGCCTCTGCTTTGTGAGTGATGTTGTCCTGCAACAGAAGGGCTCCATCAGCACCCTAACTGGCCCTTTCACAACTGGCTTGAAACATCACGCCGGGACAGCTGTCGCTTCCCACCCTAAACTGGCCCTTCTCAGCACGGACTGAGGACCTTAAACCCCGGCCCTTTCTTTGCGTCGGGCCTTGACGGCCACCTGGTAACGCCGACAGCAAACACTGCAGCCCAAAGCCACATCCTAAACCTTAAGCCCCAAGCCCGTAAACCATGAACCCTACAGTCTGTTCAGCTCCAACATCGTAACACAATGATCCAAACTGAAATCCAAACTCCTAAACTCTAGACTCCTGACCCTAAGCACTAAACCCTACATCCCGTGAAGACATCCCCTCCCACCTGGGTATGCGCCTGACTGGCGTTGCGTTGGGCGGCCTGCGGGCACGTCGTGAGCCAACGAGCCGGCAGTGATGCTGAGGCTGGTAGCTCTGGATTTGGGGGCTGGGGTGGTGAGTCTTCGTGGAGGGCGTAGTGAGGGTCATGAAGGACACCGTTAAAATGTGCCATGTGCCCCATGCGACTGCGAGGAAGTTCACTTCAGTAAGTCATCATTTTTCCTGATTCAACCGTAGATGTGACCAACAGCCATCCTACCCAGAATCACAATCGAGACCACGGCAAGCAGCTGCACAGATCCTCGTTGTTCACTTTCCTAGCAGTACCGAAGGTTATCTGTTGAACTGTTGGGATCATCATCCAGGGAATCTAGCGACTGTACTGCCCGCAAAAACGGAAGCTGCCTATTTCACGACCCAAAGATTCTGACGAGTTTTATGCACAGCCGGTCGCTTTCGCAGCATTGTTCTGCTCCAGGGTCTGGTGTGGGTTAGGGTTTCGGGTTGTTGGGTTTAGGGCTTAGTTTAGGAATTTTAGGGTTTAGGGTTTAGGGTTTCGGGTTGTTGGGTTTAGGGTTTAGGAAGCAACATAGAACTCTTAACCCTAAACTTCCCAAAAAAGTTTGGCGCTCGCACGTGGCCTGAGCTTCCTCGAGGGCTTGCTCCTTCTTGCGTCGGGCCTCCTCCTCCGGACAGGCTGGGCTGCAGCTGCGGGAGTTTTCGGACTGCCGCGCTTTGACCGGAATACTTTTCGAAGCCGGAACCCCGAAAGCTTTTGATGAGTGGTTCTGCGTCATACAGCGCTCCTGAGGGATTATAGGGCTTTACAAGCTTTACGAAACCCAAGTTCCGGGACTCTCAAACTCAACTGAGCTCCCATTCAGGCTCAAACTATAACGAAGACCCTTCTACAAAACCTGAGAGAGGTCGAGCACTCGAGATTCTGAATCCCAGAAACCGCCAGTGCCTGAATCTTCGAGCCTTAGTCCCCCAGCCCCTTACAATGCAGTAACGCCTGCACCCGAACAACGCAACCCTACTCCCGACATGCCCGAAGTCAACCGGGACAGAAGTGGAGCTGATGGCCACCACCAGAAGCTAAGGCTACTGTTCTCTCTCTCTCTCTCTCTCTCTCCCGGGCATAGCGGACGGTCAAGTCCACCGGGCTTCACTCTCTCTCTCTCTCTCTACTGTCTCCTCTCTCTCTCTCTGTACTTTTTTGCTCTCTCTCTCTCTCTCTCTCTACTTTGTCTCTCTGACGGCTTGGGTCTTGGACTTTCGGCTTTTGGGTCTACGGTGCGTGTCGTAGTTCAGAGATGCTTTCCTCGTTTCCTGCTGCAAACATCCGTTATGTTGACTTGGTTTTGGGTAGTGCTGCCTGGTTTCTGAGATAGGCTGCTTAAGCTAATCCCATTGATAAACGGGGCTGCCCTGAGCACCGATTCAAAAACGCGAATCCAAACGCGAAACGGCTGGTGGCGGTACTGGACGTGTCCGAGAAGCTCCCTGCCCCACTGTTCCGCGAATCTTGCTCTGCTTGTTTCCCGCACTTTTCGTGTCATGCCTTACAAATTCTTGGTGTTCCTTTTGCCGGCGTTGGCATGTTTTGGGCTACGGCCGAAAGGCTTCAGGTTGGATTTCTGCGAGTGATATATGTCGGCTCTTGGACTTCGAAGCGGGGCTTTTTGGGGCCGGGAGTTTGACCGATGGGGCTCTCCGAACCTCAGAGTGCCACGAGGGTTTAGGGCATACGGTTCGAGGGTTTAGGGTTTAGGGAGTTAAGGGTTTTAGGGTTTTAGGGCTTACGGTTCGAGGGTTTCGGGTTTAGGGAGTTAAGGGTTTTAGGGCGGAGAGAACCCAAGCCCCCGAAATTTGAAACTTCCCTAGGCCCCAAACCCTCAGCACCCCTCCAAAAACCCCCGAGCGAAACCCGAAAAATCCCAGAAGGAGCCCTTAAAGGGGACCCTACTCTAGAACCCCATGGTCCCACTTTAAAGGAACCCCCCCTTGAAAGGAGCCCCCTTCAAACGAGGTGGCCTGGGCTTTCTCGATGGCTTCTTGCTGCTTTCGCCAGGCTTCCTCCAAGTAGGGTTTTGGGTTTGGGGGTTTGGAGTTTAGGGTTTGGGGCTTAGGGTTTGGGGTTTAGGTTTTAGGGTTTTGGGTTTGGGGTTTGGGGTCTCAGGCTTAGGGCGTACAGGGTTTAGGGCTTAGGGGCTTCAGGGCTTCAGCGTGCAAATTCTCGGAGGCTTAGGCTTCAAAGTTCACCTCAATGCTGAGGAATTCTGGGCTTTGAGGCTTGAGGAGCTGGGCCCGTGGTTTAGGGTTTAGGGTTGAGTTCTCGTTCAACCCTCCCACTACACGTCAATGATTTATGCTTGGTGCGGCATGCTGAAAAGGATCGACTTAGAAAGCAATTAATCTATTATAAACCCTGATGTAAAGTCTATAGGAACCCTACGAGAGAGTTGGTGGTTTAAGGTAGACCATAAGCTCCGCGCTTTTGTCACAACCCGCCCAGCTGGCCAAGTCGCTAGAACCGAGCAGATGGAAAACGGTGCTTGTGCAGCCATGTCGGCGGTACTCCTTCAAGCGGATTTAGGGGGTTACGGTTCAGGGATAACAGCCATGGTTTGTTCCTTGCCCTGCAACTCGGATGCTCAGAACCAACTCCTGATAGAGTGAGTACCACGACCGCTGCAGTTCGCACAGTCCTGGCGACTGCCATTTGGCAAACATCGCCAGGGACTGGCTGGGCTTCAAAATGATTTATCTCTCGGGCTCCACTGTTTTTCTTTTATACCCTAACCCGTAGACTCTAAACCCTAAACCCTAAACCATAGGGGGCCCTTACAAAAAGTGCCTAGCCATCTTGCAGTTATACATAACACCTCCTGAGCCCATAAAATGAGAGATTTCGGGGGGGCACCCGTCTTCGGGACCTTCCTCCCACGAACAATAACTGCTGACTCTTTTACTTTTTTTACTTGCTGAAGCTCACACCGTTTCTTGCGTGGCTGTCTCTCGGGCTTCCAGTTCGCGGGGCTTCACGTGCTCAAGGGCATTGCGCAAGGCCTGGAGGTAGCCGAAAACGTACTTGTCGTCCGGCTCGAGCGTGTGCTGCTCCGCCCAATGGTTCCAGGAGCCAACGAAGAAGAGATTCTCAGGGACATGTCGCTGCGGCATGGCGGTCATGTTGGCGAAAGACCCCACCAATGCTTGCTGGAAGGTCTTCGGCGTCACGTGCAGCGCACCGCTGTTGCCATGCACTCGGCCGTCGAAGCCTGTCGCAGCACCCCAGTACTGGTGCTGCTCCTTGACCAGGTAGAGGTCGCGGTCCGAAGCAACACCACCGCACAAATCCCTGCAACTTGGGGCATGATGAAAGGCTCCATCCAAGAGCTCCGCCTTGTAGTTGTGCTCCTCGTAGAAGCGCCGGCCCACGGAAGAGAGGATGTAGAGGCCGGAGAAGCCCTTCTCCACCGCAAGGCTCCTCCAAAGCTTCAGCATGGGCTCCAGCTTCTGCTCCAAAAGCTGGGGGCGGAGGATGGCGAAGACGGGCTTGTTGTCGATCTTCATGTAGCGGTGATCCTTGAAGTACTGCATCAGGTGCTCAAAGTGCTCTTCCCAGTGCTCACGGTCGCCGTAGGTCTGCGGGATGAGGGTCCCCGTGCCATCCTCACCGGCTTGGCCCGAGAACTTTCGGGTCCAAGGCTCGTTGGCCCAGGTGAAGAAGTAAGGCAGATTGGGCTGCCCATCATGGAGAACCTGGTTTAGGGTTTAGGGTTTGGGGTTCAGGGTTTGGGGTTTGGGGTTTAGAGTTTAAGGTTTGGGGTTTAGGGTTTGGGGTTTAGGGTTTAGGGTTTAGGGTTTAGGCCCATCATGGAGAACCTGGTACGGGACCTTCCACATCACGCTCTTGTTCTGGCCGCCCTCACCACCAAACCAGTAGTGGTAGTAGGAGAAGCCATGCACTCCGTGCTGCTTGGCTAGCTGGGCCTGGCGGCCCCTGACCTGACGCTTCTAGCATTGTCTAGTCTAGTCTAGTATAGTATAGTCTAGTAACTAGTCTAGTCTAGTCTAGTCTAGCATAGTATAGTCTCGTCTAGTCTAGAATAGTATAGTCTAGCATAGTCTAGTCTAGTCTAGTCTAGTCTAGTCTAGTATAGTGTAGTGTAGTGTAGTGTAGTCTAGTATAACATGTTATAGTATATATTCTCATATAATCAAGCATAGCATAGTGTAGCTTCATCAGGCCCCTGACCTGACGCTTCATCAGGTCATAGAAGCCCAGACCTCCACGCTCCTCGCTCAGAGGCTTCCGAAGTCCCTCGCCTTTGAAATCCTGCAGCGCCTTCAGGGTTTAGGGTTTCGGAGTTTAGGGGTTGGGTTTAGGGTTTAGGGTTTCGGAGTTTAGGGTTTCGGGGTTTGGGGTTTAGGGTTTCGGAGTTTAGGGGTTGGGTTTAGGGTTTAGGGTTTCGGAGTTTAGGGTTTCGGGTTTTGGGGTTTAGGGTTCTGCAGTGCCTTCCAGTCCGTGTAGCCGTCTCCGAAGAACTTCTCCAGCTCAGGCACTTGGTGGAACTGTGGATAGTACATCGCGATGACCTTTGGGGCCGGGGGCATCGTAGCTAGGCTGCGGCCCCGCAGACGCAGCGCCGTCGTCACGAAGCCTTCCAGTGCCAGCTCCAGGGCCTGAGCTTCGTCGTTCTTTTTCTGGATCAAGGGCGCAAGCCGCGGAATGGCAGCGACGGCGGTCTTCAAAGGCTCTGCTTCCCTCCGGAGCCAGAAGCTCCCACCGGCGACGTAGGTCGCCAGGTCCTCCGCTTCGTTCAGACCCACATGCCCTGTGTTCATCAGGAGCAGGGAGCGGAATCCTTTTGCACTGCCCTCGCTGAAACCTCTCCAGCTCCGGTTGCCCAAGACCTTGTTGAAGACGGAGGGCGCCAGGTGCTTTTTGCTGGTCTTTCGGTCCACGATGGTACCTGCAGGAGCGATGAGGTCCAGCGAAGGTCGGGAAGCGAAAGCATTCAGCACTGAGCGCACGTGGAAGCGCGTGCCGCAGAGCGCCTGGGACGCAAGTTGCTGTACATCGTCTCGCGGTGACACACGGAGCTTCAAGAGGATGTCATAGTCCACACCCCCGCGAGTAGCGGAATCCAACTGCATCAGGAACTGAGGCATGTCGGCCGCGGCACCTGCAGAGTTGGTGACGAAGATGTTGGCCTTGCTGTGCTTGCCCTGGACGTAGCCCAGCAGCTCCTCCACCTCGTCATCGGAGGGGGCAGTGCCGTTGACAAAGTTGAGATGCACGCCAGTTGGCTCGTCGGTCGCCGACAGCACCTCCTCAAGGCACTGCGAGATCTGCGAGGCCCAGTCGTGATGACCGATCTGCACAAAGAGGCCAAGCCGGGCCTTCCTGGCGCGCAGCACATAGCGGCGAACTTCCGCAAGGCGCACCTCCCCTTCTTCACGGTGCTCCAGCAAGGAGCCTTCCGGGGCCTGGGCAAGGACCGGAGCAAGAAGCTTGCAGAGGAGCAGCGAGCACAGGGCGGCGAATGGACGCATTCGGTTCATGGCGAGGCCATGCAGGGAAGGGGCAGCCATCGCAATTTCCTGCGATGTCTTCTGGTTAGATAAAAAGCCCCTTTTCTTAAAGGCTGACCTTTCAGCCAGCACCTGCAGCCACATGCATAGTTCCGCAGGTTGCGACGAGGACGACTCACTTCTGCACAAGCAGGCCAACGAAGCACTTGTGTAAGCTTTTGGGGCTTGTACCCCACGCCCCCGGAACTTCGGCTCGTTCGCAGCCTCCGCTTTCCTTCTCGCTTCCTCCCTTTTGCGCCGGGCTTCCTCTGCAAGGGTCGCTTTGTCAGATGGTTTACGGTGCGTGCAGGGATGAGCGTCCTCAGAGTGCCGGGGGTTGCTGGATCGGTTTTTTACATCAGATCGTATTAGTATTAAACTAAGCTTATTATAATGACACAAGACTATACAACTCTATACTATACTACACTATACTATACTACGCTATGCCGCTATACTGTACTACACTCACCTCACTTCACTACACGATACTAGACTATACCATCCTATACTCTTCAGGATTCATGGGTTTCGTCCTGCGTCGGAGGCTGTGGTCTTGCGGTACTAGCCTGGTTCGACGCGGTTCGTTTCGGAATGTGGTTAGCTCTCTAGGGGTCCCTTTCAAGGGAGCTATAACGGCTTCTATAGGCAGGTCTAGAGGGGTTCTATGCGTCGGGGTCTCTTTGGGGGTCCTTCTTAAAAGGGTGCCATGCTATTTTGAGGACTTAAAGGGGTCCTGAAGTTAGAGACCTACCCAATACTTCTCCACAGCCACCCTACGGAAAACAGCTCGTACTGCAGCGCTACTGCTGCAGGCTCCAGGTGTTCTGCGGTAGCCGGTTGAGATCTACTCGGAAGACTTTCTGGCTCGACCATGTCTCTCAGGTTGATTTATGCATGTAGATTTGGACCAAAGGTGAGGATTCCACCCATTCGGGAGCGGAAGTGCCCTGCGAACAACAGAAAACATCACGAACAGACCAGTAGGTCAAGGCCGTAAAGAAGAGGCTTTACAATGCCATCTTGGTTCGACCGCTTGATCACAGAAGGACTCCGTTAACCACAGTTTCGTGTGGGTACAAATGAACCGGCTGCAACCCCAGCCCGAAACTTAAACTGGACACTACCAAACGGGATGCTCCTCGCGCGCACGTTCTTCTCGCTCCTCTCGTTCCCTTTCCTCCTGGATGTAGATCTCCTGCATGCGATCTCTGCGCGAATCGAATTCTGCCACCAAAAGAGCCTATAAGCCCTAAGAACTCTGAAAAGGGAAAACCAGATGAAGAATGGGAAAAGAGCACTGATTCGGGATCCACAGTACTCCTCAAGCTCTATTCTGTATTCCTCCTCGCCGTTGGAGTTGCACGTATCCGTAAACCCTGCGTAAACCTCCAAGAGCCTAAACCCCAACGCCCCAACTCTGAACCCGAAGCTTACACCCCCGAAACGTCCCAAAACCCCAAACCGAAACCGTGCTGCGCCCTCCAAGCTCCCAACCTCACACACTCCAATATAAACACCGAACACTCGAATCCTTGACACTAACCCTAACCCGCCAGGTACCTACTATATAGGGTACTAGAGCCCCAAGGGCCCTATATAGTAGGTACCTGGGAAGTTAGGGTAAACTCCCACAAAAAAGCGACATTCCAGCCTGGACGGCCTTCTTGACCCCGGAGACTTCCGACTGCGCCTCGTTCTCCTCTTCCTGGATGGGGCGAAAAGCAAATTCTGGGTTCTTAAGGGATTTAGTTTGGGGTTTAGGGTTGTAGGGTTTAGGGTTTAGGTCTGCACTACGGTTTCAGAAGGGTTGTGGACGTGGAGGTGCCTTTGAACCTGTGCCTGGTCGCAAGCACAGCAAAAAGATCCCTAATCGGGTTTCGGGTTTAGGTTTTTGGGGGCTGCTATTGCCTTACTTTAAAACCCTGCTCATTCGCTCCCAGATACTTCAAGCGAGACTTCGTGGGAGTTCGACGACGAACAATGACGAATGTTGCTGGATGCTGCTGGTGGTGAAGATGGTGGTGATGCCAGGTCCTGATGACGTTGATGGTGGTGGTGCTGAGCTCATGGGTCATGGTATTGGTGAGGTTCCTCTCGTGGCACGGGTAGCACTGACAACACACAGCCAATCATAGGACAAGAGAAACAGCAAACTCGTGACTCTAGCAGCTGATTTTTGGGAAAGTGCAGTGCAATTGCAGTTGCATTTTCATACGAGTACTGATGGCATGGCTATCAACATCTATAACAACGGTGGTGGTGGTGGTGGTGGTGGTGGTGGTGGCGGTGGCGGTGGTGGTGGTGGTGGTCGCGTCGCATTGAATTGCAGTACCTAACCTTGCTCACCAAGTCCCGTGATTTTGGTGGTTTTTGGTCTGCGAAGGAGGACTTCTCGTCTGTTGCGGTGTTGAAAATTGGGTGTTTCGCATCAGCAAGGGGGTGTGGGTGTTGCAGCGAGGTTCTGGGATGGGGCGCTGAAAGTTGAATAATGACTCGGCGAAAACTCATTTAATTTCAGCCATCTGCTGCCAACCTCCTCGAGGTCAACGGCATGCCCAGGTCGTTCATCGTCCTGGTCGCTCGGGAATCAAGTCTGAGAGAAGTGGTTTACGGTTTAGGGCTTAAGGGCTTTAGGGCTTAGGGTTTAGGGTTTGTGGTTTACGAGTTTAGGGCTTGGGCCTTAGTGGCTTAGTACCCCGATGGTGAACCCGACCGAGCAAGAGAAACCGAAGCTAAAAACCTACATAGCGAAAAGGGTTCAGGGTTTAGGGTTGAGGGTTTAAGATTCGGAGTGACCCGAACGAAGCACAGCAAGACTCTTGTTGTTGTTAGTGGATCGGCTCGGGGCTGGTTGTTGCATGCGTCACTGTTGCCACTTTTGATGCATCATCAATTCAGAAGACCCTCAACACGAAACCCGAAATGGAAAGCCCAAGAACAACGGCGAAGTAGACGGCAATCCCGGCCTCGATCCCGAGAGTAGCCGGGGAAGACAAACAGCCCAGAAAGGGGAAACCAAACCCCAGAAGCCGTTTGTTTTAGGCTTTAGGGCCCAAGCTTAGGATTAAGCAAGGAAGCCGGGAAGCAAGTCGACCAAAAGCCATCATGAAACGAAGAAGTGGTGCAGCTAAGCCGCCAAGAAACTGTTCAACACCCCTGTGTACTACTAATCACAAGAGAACCCGAGCGACAAATTCACAGCTGAAACACAGTCCTCGCAGACTCGAGGAACTCCTGGCGCGCCCCGCCTGCTGGCTTCTTCTGGCCATCTTACCGAGGTTTGGGGACAGATTTGACTCTCCGGGAAGCAGCAGATTCTGGGGCTCAAATCCCTTAGCCGAAAATGTAAACTTGGACCCGTGGATGTCGCGACGTAGCACAAGGACCTTACGGAGCCTAAACACTTACCGAGTGCATCAGCTTAATCTGACAGCAAAGAACCATACTGGATCTTCAGAGTAGCAAACTTTACTTGAAGGCCTGTGGGGCTTTTACCGGATTACACCTAGATCCCACTACCGACGAGCCTTCAAGCAAAGCCCTCTTCCGGAAGAAACTAAATTCATCTGAGCCCCAGGCATGTAGAGCGCTTTAGCAACTTCCTGGTCCGTGGAATCCGAGGACAACTCCGGAAAGGCTTCTGGCTGCTGGACCTGGGTCGCAGCTTCTTGAGACTTCAGGGCTGCTGCAACTTCCGATTTCTCGGTGTTCTCTACTTGGAACCTTAGGGCAGCTCAGGGCTTCAATTCCTTTTTGAGTTTAGAGCCGGACATGTCTGGATAGAAGCTCGGCGACCGCGAAAACACGAACTTTGAAGCGTTGTCACTCAGTTAGACACCAGCAGCTCTTGCGCGAGTCCTACTACGGCCACAGCACCACGGGGGTAAACATCAACACGCATTCTGGTGGTGGTGAGGGTGGTGGCGCAGTACTGATACCAGTTGCACTAGCAGTACTAGTTCGTTTGCAGGACTAGTAGGACTAGTCATGCTAGCAGTACCAGTCGCACGAGCCGTATAAGTAGTTGTGGTACTCGCAACAAGGCGTAATATCTGTGCAACTTGTAGCACCCGTAGTAATGCAGCATGTGTGATACTTGCAGCACTGGTCGTCGTTCTAGTCGTAGGAGGAGGCACAGGACGAGGAAGAGTCATAGCTCTTGAACTAGCAGTCCGTACAGGTGGTAGCGGCAACTACGGCATCTGCAGTGTCGGTAGTGGTCATCGTCTTGGTTGATGGCGGTGATGGTGGTGGCGGTTGCTGTTGCGTTATACCTCACCAACACGACACTCTCCAGAACCCTCACCTATTTTCCAATACCTGACGCCTAAAGCCTGTTTCCCGCGTGCCTGTTCTTATCCCAAGGCTGATGCCATCTGCTTGCGGCACTCGGCGATGTGATCCATGCCTCAGGCCAGAGGCCGACATGGAAGCATTCCTGGGTTTAGGATTTAGGGTTTAGGGTTTAGGATTTAGGGTTTAGGATTTAGGGATTAGGGTTTAGGGTTTAGGATTTAGGCTTTACGATGTAGGGTTTAGGGCTTCCGCACGCTTTGGGTTTCTACTCTCACAACACGGACGATCCAGGCGAGGTCTCGGGCGCGGTCCGTGTGAAACAGTGTAGCCCTCCGCGTTTGGGGTTGCCGCATCAATTTTTCGAGTGCAACGGCTGCTACGATGCGAGAAGGATCGAAAGGTTGTTCGGAATTCTGATGGGGTGCCCAGGATTACCTTCTAGATCTTATTGTCGTGGCTTCCGCCGGCTTGGAGGCCGGTGTGGAGTTCGGGGATGGAACAACGAAGGCACACAGGAAAGGACTGGTACGTCTGCGCAAGTGCTTCAAGTTCAAGTACAAGCCGTTGATAAATCAATGTTCAGCGTTCGATGATGCAAAATGACAACCAGCTGCTTCTGCATACAATACCTAAAGTTTGGGATTTGACTTTGCAAGCGGGAAGTAGCGTGCACCACCGCTGTACAGTTTACACAAAGATACGGGACTAAAGGCGTAAAACAT